ATCATTGTCTGGTATGGCAGCACTACTGCTATGGACCGCAAGCACCTGCAGAGAGTGGTAAAGACTGCGGAGAAGATCACTAGGACTCGACTGCCCTCTCTGCAGAGCATTTACCACCGCAGGGTGTGCAGGAAAGCTGCCTCCATCCTCAAAGATCCCACCCACCCCCAGCATGGACTGTTCACTTCTTTGCCCTCTGGCCGGAGGTTCAGAAGTGTGAAATGTAGGACCACTAGACTGAAAAACTCTTTCTTTCCCTCTGCCATCAGACTCCTAAACAGCTGAGGAGTTTATTACCAGGAAATATGTGATGTACTGTTTACATTCTGTTTGCACATGCATAATTGCACGATGACTGTTGACTGCTGCACATGCTGTTCCCATGCAGCATACATTCTGTTATATTCTTGTATATTTTTTTTCTACCATATTGCTGCATCTGCGCTGCTTAAAGTGCCTTAGATTTTGTGTTATTTATCTACTTTATATTTCATTTGTATTTTGTGGGATTCATGTGGACGGCAAAGTAAGAATTTCATTGTAAAGGGAAACACGTTTCCTAACTGTGCATATGACAAAATAAACACTTTGAACTTGAACTTTGAACTGTGCAATACCACCACACTGCACAGTAATACCACATACTGTACCTCACATGCTGTGTGCCAACCTGCCCCAATGCTAAAGACTGACCTGACCCACATGGTGAGTTTTTCTGTGCAGGGGATAACACTAACTGCTGCCAGAAGGTGCAATGGTGAGGCCACTGAGTGGTGACACTAATGAATATGGAGAGGCAATTTCAGCTTTGCCTTTGCTGAACTAACATGACCTTTGACCCCTGTGGTATGGAAATGAAAGTGGCTCCTTTATTAAAAAAAAAAGAAAAAAAGAACCAAACTCTGGGTTGGGCTGTATCTGATAAGGACTTTTTATGTGAGGCAGTTATATATTAACAAAGCTGATAAGAAGAGGAAAACATACTAGGAATAGCAATGGTTTGAGCATAGTATGTACACTATCTGAGTAAGAATAATACTAGAGTTACTGTAACATAATACCCATCCATAATGAAAAAACAACATTGTAAGATATAATGGACTGTCTTCCATGTTGTGAGTTAAGTTTTATATCAACTCATGTCTCCTGGATTCCAATATGCACTATCCATATTAACCTCCACCCTACAATCACCTGTGACCTGAAGCAGGTCCCCTGAGACCTGGGGATTATTGAGGGGTCATCAAGCCACGAAAAACCAAATTGTGCATATTGAATGAAGTGTGGATACATAAATTGGGTAGGAGGACAAAGTAGAGAGCTATTCCGATTTGAAATATTTATGTCCCAGCAGTAAACGTTGTCTTTATACAGGTTTTATTGGAGCAGTTTACTAAAGATGTGCCATAATAATGTCTAAAGCATGTGAATACCAGAAGACATGCTGTTAAGTATTCATTACAACTATATCTTAGTGCCTAAGGTCACAGTTTACAGTGTTTGCCAAGTATTTTCAGGGAAACTGTTGAGCACATACACCTCCACAAACAGTCGTTCACACATGCTCCAGCTTATCTGATTCTTGTGATAGAGTTAGGCCTTTGTACCGTCACCTTTGGCATTACACAGTCTGCACAGTGACAAAAACCTTGTACAAGAAAAAAGAGATTTAAATGAAAAGAATCCAGAATGATCCATATTAGGTAGGCTGGGAAAAAGCCTGACTGATTCTAAGACTGCTCAGCAGATCACATGGCCCAGGCAGCATCATCTATGCAAACAGCACAGATGGAAGTGGGAACCACTTTGGATTATCAATTCTTACATCAATGAAGGGTCCAGTACATTCTTGGTCCCTGTTCTACTCATACATCTTTGTCCACCCTTCTCCACAGTTTCCCCCATGGGATCAGGCCAGGGACAGGTGGCCACTGGGAGACAGAAGATCAGTCAGGCATAAGTAATCAGGTTATCAGATACTCCCAGCCACACCAGCAGCACAATTAGACATGAGAATCCACAATCATCTGACAGCATCACTTGTTCCAGACTCAGTCACATAACACACATCTAAACATGCCCATGCAGATAGCAAATATCTAAACATGCACCCACACAGCCAAGACACACACTCACAAACTATTACTTTGACAATGCATCTCATTTTGCATAAATTGTAAAATGAAGACTTGCACAGCTGACAGGATGAACTTTACTCAAGAGCCACTCTATTAGTCTTTGGTAACCTTCTACTAGCAATTTTAAAAAGCATGGGTATCAGTGTGTTAATGAAAACACAAGAAGCACACAAGAACACACGAACTATTTTACTGCATTGCTTAAAAATTGCGCCCATATGTATATACATACTGTGCAACAAATTTGTCCGATATGTATCTGACATAGCACCCATAGCACTGACTGGAATACCAATGGCCAAGATGCAGCGGCAGCGCAGACCAGGGGAGTGACGCATTGCAGGTGCAAACACACCAATCAGAGAGCGCGATTTCTTCCGGCTACGGCTTGTGCCCCATCACAGAGTAGCAGAAAGTATTCATACGCTATTATGTAGACCACCAGCGAAACGTAATATAATTCCCAGTACCGACGTCACGACGTGCACGGCAGTCATGCGTTGGGTATTACTGTTGTTTCTTTATTTTCTGTGTAGTTAATCATTTCTACAAATTATTTCGATATATTTTAACTGAGGGAGGAAATTGGAAGTTGGCGGAGTGATATTAAAAAGAGGAGGAGCTTAGGATAACCGTTATAGGCGAGTCCAGCTGCCCCTTTGGCAGTGTGTTCATAGAGATTGTGGTCTATTTTGGCTTTATTTTGGGGTTGGAGTTTGTTGTGAGGCACTCGTTGTACTTGCGTCAAAATGGTAAGAAGCATGATTATATTTTCCTTCCAGTTTAGAGTCGGTGATCAGACTGTTAACAGTATTTACTAATTGTTTTAAGTGAATCTAAATTAAACCTAATGTTACCAGTGGCTAAGTTCAAGCCATCTTAAACGTTGTGCTTTATGTTAAGCACTGTGGTGCTTGCCCACTAAATGATATCTTGCTAGGTGATACTAGCTTGCTAGATAAGTAATATTAATGTTAGCCAAAGCTGCATTGTTTTGAGTATAGTACATCCGTGCTCTAAACGTTAGCGCTGAGTTACACTTGAAATGGGCATTTTCTTGCTTGTGACGACTGCTGTATTTATTTTGCTAAGCGTGTTTTGTGTAAGGTATGTAACGTTAACTGTGAGCCGGCACATAACGAAAGCTAGCCAACTTTAGCCCTTTGCAGCTAGCGCTAACCTTTACCGCCAAATTCTAAGTCCTCCATTGACCACGGCGTCATTGGACACTGGCATGAAAATAGCCCCAACGTTTTAAAAGACACGTGACATTCAAGCAGCACGAAAATTCCTTTTGTATATAACCCACAGTATAGTTGTTGCCGGTTATACGTTACGTAGCTGTTAACAGTGTTTCAAATAAATGTAAGACTATCTATTAATGATTGGCATTAACATTTATGTTGTAAAAGATAATACTGGATATTTAGCTATATGGTGTTCTGTTAATTGCGTAATATTTTATTTTACAGGCTGACCAGCTCACAGAAGAGCAGATTGCTGGTAAGACAAAGTTAACATTGATTGCCTGTTAGTGACTTACATTATGGATCTTTACAACCTTTGCAGTGGATTTATAATTTTGCCTTTTAAGATATTCTACAAGGAAGCCTACTGATCATAAAAATGGAGTGAATAGAACTACTGTTGCTTACTGGCTCGGTTGGAGTGTCGATGGAGTCCCCCATGGAAGATGTTGCATTTTCATGGTTTGCTGTGTAATATAATGATGTAATCTGGGAGGATTGTGTATTTTGGTGAGGTGTTGGCAGTCACCTTGTACATGCTGGGACTAAAGTATCCTTCAGCTTGGTCATGTTGTCATTAGATGGAATGTTTCAAGAAAAATTGCAATAGCAACCTTGGCTTGACACACTTGTCTTGAGATGATGCATGTACTCAGATGGGCAATGGGTGCAGTTCATGTCTAAAACTTGACACAGGTTTAGGGGTTTTCCTTGATACTGTCCTACTTCTGTACATTTGATTCAGCTTTGGTGCCATGTTGTTGTATATCATGATAGGAACTTTTAGCGGGTGAACCCTAGCTTGAGTTTTTGGTCAGTTTGTTCAAAAAGCATGGCTTAGCATGTTCCTATGGACTTGCAAAAATAGTTTAAATATAGAATTTTAGCAGCTCATACAGATGCAGTGGCATCTGACATTTCCTGCAAACAGCAAGCCTTTCCTGTGTGTTTGACCCTGCAAATGGCTGGGCAGGTTGTAGAGTTTGATTGTGACACATTCCCATTGACCTCATCACACTTGATGAGCTTCATTGTTCTCATCCCTCACAGCTCATCCAAACTACTCGTACTGTCATTTGTTGCTGATGTAGCCTGACTGCTCTGTTGTGCTTGGTCTTGAGGTCACTGTCTTTGTTTAGCCCAAAACGGCTGCAGTTGGAAGTCATAACAGAAGGACTCATCAGAACACACACAAGGAATCAAAGGAGCTGTTGTCTTGCACGTCATCATTTGTAGTAACCACTGTACCCTTTGAAAAGACCTAGCTCCATGCATTAAACCAGCTAGTTTGACTGAAACATAAGTGATACAAGTTTAAGTTTTGAGTCAGTGTGTTGATGCAAGGTGGGCTGGCAGGATTTACATGGACTTTAAGCTTTATTTTTAATAGATTGAACCTTCTGTCTTGTTTTACAATCACTGACATGTCTTGCCAGTATGTGCATTCCTGTCTTGCTAGAGAAGCCTTTTTTTTCCCCCTCCCTCCCATCCAGAGTTTAAGGAGGCATTTTCACTCTTTGACAAGGATGGAGATGGCACCATCACCACCAAAGAGCTGGGCACAGTTATGCGCTCGCTGGGTCAGAACCCCACAGAGGCAGAGCTGCAGGACATGATCAATGAAGTGGATGCTGATGGTAAGAACTCAGTCTGTCTTTGAGACCTGCTAACAACACACAGGCTGTAGGTGTTCATAACCAAACAGTGTTTTTTTTTTTTTTTGTTTGTTTGGTTTTTTTTTTTTTGTTAAGGAAATGGAACGATAGACTTTCCAGAGTTCCTGACCATGATGGCCAGGAAAATGAAGGACACAGATAGTGAGGAGGAGATCAGAGAAGCATTCCGTGTCTTTGACAAGGTAAGTGCTGTGTTGCATGTATATGTATGTAGAGCGTTTTGTTAAATATGCTTACTAACTGACCTCGTTTTCAGGATGGCAATGGATATATCAGTGCTGCTGAGCTGCGCCATGTAATGACTAACCTTGGAGAGAAGCTGACTGATGAAGAAGTGGATGAGATGATCAGAGAAGCAGACATTGACGGCGATGGACAGGTCAATTATGAAGGTTGGTAAATGTTGCATTATATTTTTAATATTTAGATCACTTGTGGATACTAAGTCACAGCCTCCTTTTATTCTTCCCCCTCCTCCCATCTTTCCTGCAGAGTTCGTACAAATGATGACGGCGAAGTGAAGGCCTTGTACAGATTTCGTATATAAATTTGCCCCCTTTTGCCACCCCCCCTTGTGTAATTTATCTGTAAAATCTTAATAGTCCTCTTTGTCCCTGCCCCTTATGCTGTCCAAAGGAATAGCATGTAAACTGCATAGGCTCTTGTCCCCATGTCCCTTTCTTTTGCTGTCCTTGTGTTTTGGAGTGACAAAACAGTTGTACAACCAGATACCAGTGGAGGCCCCTGGGAGCCAGAGAACTTCGATTCTTCCTGTCTTATGTGCTCGGGGCCCCTCCACGCATGATGACATTGGAAACCTGTCAGCTGGTTGTCATTTGGCAACACTGTTGGCATGGAAACGGTGTGGAAGAGTTTAAACTCTATGGACTGTGGACAAAGTATATATGGAAATCTCAGCATTGCACTACTGCAAAAAAATGACACGGGTGTATCTCCTAGGTACTCGTACAAACTCTTTTTGTATCTGCTGTTCTGTATACCAGAAAATGACTAATCTTGCCATGTTGTGTTTTTTTTTTTTTTTTAACTCATAAATGACCTCTGGTCATGCCTCAATAATCCATTCCAAGTTGTATATTTTGTTTTGCAATAAAATTTACAATCTATTTGGATTTGAAAATTGTCATGTTTTCTCAGTTATAATTCATTCTTGGGTTTATTCCCATTTTTGTATGGAGGACAAGATACTGTTTTGCAAGGATTTTTTTTTTTCTCTTGTTGCTTGGAATACAGTTAAAATGTGTACTATTAAATTGTCCCCTATTAATTCCTGAAAGCACTGGGCATCAGCCAGTGCCTCAATTTTCAGATGAGCTCAGATCACATCTGTATTAACATTAAAAAGCACTTAGTGGGCTCAAAGGCTTCTGTTTTTGAAGTGTGCACAGTACTCAATATTAAATTAGACTTTTACTACTACTGGCTACATAAGCCATATATTGTCTGCGGCTATTGGCACAAAATCATGTAGAAGTGGACTGCCTCATGTCTTGGCATTTGTCCCCAGTCAGGAGGTGTAGATGATGATAGTGTACATCAGAAACCTTGGTGTAAATGGAAGTATATCTGTTTCTATTTTCTTATTAAGTTTCTGATTGAGTTTTTTGCAGTAGCTCGCAGAGATACTAAGTTTGTTATTTTAATGAATGACAAAACTGTGGTGGACCTCTGCTCCTTGTGTGAATTTTACAGTAGATTGCTCGGTTGGGTCTTTGATGCTAACAGTGGTTGGTGTGATGCTTTTGTCATTTCAAATCCTCTTAGGCCTGTCTGCTGGGAGTAGTACAGACTAGTTTGTGTCTTGGTCATCATGCATATTATTCAGGATTACCTGTGGATGTACATTTAAAATCTAGAGCATTACAAAATGCTCTAGATTGTCTGTGAGCTGCTACTTAAGTAGCAATGAGTATGATATAAACAAATTACTTGCAGTACTGATTTAGTATTCCTTTATCTTGTCTTATGTGTAGCCAAAATTGAGTAGATTATCACACTTAGTCTTCTTAGTATAACCTGTTCTGTGACAAAAAGGAAGACCACAACCTGCAGCAGTTTCAGGTGTGAGGCAATGGCTCTCATCAAAACCAATTATCACAAGGCTTTAAAAAATTCTCACAGTTGCAGTGTCTAAGCAGTCTACTTATGAAAAGCTGTTAATTAACATTAGTCTCAGCCCTCTGAATTCATGAGTTGTCCCCTTAGGTGACTGTAGGTACAATGGTTACTATGAATGATGATGTGCAGGATGACCTCAGACAACAGCTCCTTTGGTTCCCCTCTGTGTGTGTGTGCTCTTAGATCTCATGAGATGTCCTTGAAAGCAGTGTAAACATACATCCCTGTGTTCCATTTGTTCAATAACAAGGTCAAATGTTATGCTTTTGCTCCCAGAGTGAGATTTTCACTTTAGGTGATGGTCTTTAGTTCTGCTGTACTGAGAGGGTGTGTGTGCTGGTATCTGGAACCACATTTCAGCCTAGTATGCCCCTTGAGATAAGATACTTCAAACTTCATATAAAAAGAAGATGGATGGTCTGAAAGTTCCCCAAGGGAAGTATTATATTTGTACAACTGTGCTGTTTCATTTAAAGAACTGACTCTTCCTAAATACACATGAACTTCACACTGACACTGTAGGTGACAAAGGTGTTAATTGAGGAACCAAGAGGTCAAAATAGTTGGCTTATTTTACTAATGTCACAGAAATACATAGTTGCTAAATTTAAATATTTTGATCAGTACAATGGCAAAAAAACATTATGTAAACCCTTTGGAATGACCTAGTTCCTTGCTTTAAATGACCATAAGATGTTATCTGCTATCTGCTTAGGCTAATAGCACACAAATAATTATAAGCTTTTATGTCTCTTTTGAGCTCATTTCACTGTGTCTCTGTTGGGTTAAGGTCTGGGCTCTGACTGGGCTGTTGAAGAAGGTGGATCTTATTTGTTTGAAACAATTCTGTAGTAAATTTACTTTGATGTTCAGGCTTGTTGTCCTGCTCGGTCACCCAGCTTCACCTGAGCGTCAGCTGGTGAATATCCTGGCATTATCCTGTAAGATACTGTACCTTGATTAACATGGGGATTCCCCATGAATGTTGGTAAGTTGTCCAGGCTCAGAGGCAGAAAATCAGCGCCACGTCATGATGGTCCCTCCACATTACTTCACTTGTACAATGATGTTTTCACATTGGTACATGTTTGTTCTAAGGAGAGCTGCAGCTTCCTCTGTGGTGTCTTGCCACAAGTCGAGGTAGCTCTAACCCAGTACTGTCTGGCTGTCTGGACTCCAGGTTTGCTAACTCCTGACTCCAATTAGCTCTTGGTGATGTCTTTAATCGAGAGGTTTTTATACTATTTCCCACCTACACAGTGAATGTTTGAATGATGTGTTCACTATAGATTGATTTGTGTGCTATTAGTTAAAATAGATTGTTCATAATTGTCAGGAGATTGTTGGGCGACTGAATCCCTCTGGTTCCCCAAATGATGCTGTTCCTCCTTGTTTTTTAAAGGAAATCTTTCCGGTTGTGGGGCCATTTGTTCTCTCCATTATTAATAGCAGTTTATCCTCTGGCCTGGTTCCAAAGATGTTTAAACATGCCGTGGTGCGGCCGCTGATTAAGAGACCTGGTCTGGATCCCACAGTGTTCTCAAATTTTAGGCCCATCTCAAATTTGCCATTTCTCTCCAAAGTCCTTGAAAAGATAGTTTATGCTCAGTTACTGGCTTTCTTAGATGAGCACAATATTCTTGAGACTTTTCAATCAGGGTTTAAAACCCAGCATAGTACTGAGTCAGCCTTGGTGAAAGTCTTAAATGACATTTTTCTTGCTACTGACTCAGGGAATTGTGTGGTCCTAGTGCTCTTAGATTTGACCGCTGCTTTTGACACAGTGGACCACAATATCCTTATTTCTCGTTTGGAGCACTGGGTGGGTATCCGGGGGATAGCTTTGGAATGGTTTCGATCGTATCTTAAGGATAGATCCTTCTGCGTGAAACTCTGAGATGCTGTATCTTCCTCTGAGCCCCTTGTGTATGGGGTACCACAAGGCTCGGTCCTTGGACCCCTTCTTTTTTCCCTTTACCTTCTTCCACTTGGTTCTATACTCAGGAATCACAGTGTTTCCTTTCATTTTTATGCGGATGATTGCCAGCTTTACCTACCGGTTAATAAGATGAGCTCTTCCGTTAGCACACTTCTTGAATGTCTGGATGACATTAAATCTTGGCTTGCTTTTAACTTTTTAAAGCTGAATGAGGATAAGACTGAGGTGATTGTATTCGGTGATTCTGTTGGTTCACCATCTGTTGACTTGGGCTCATTGGCTCATTATAATAAAAAGAATATTTTAAATTTAGGTATTAAGATGGATCCAGATTTAAGATTCGACAGCCAAATTGCAGCTGTCATTAAATCTAGTTTCTTTCAACTAAGACAGTTGGCTAAAGTAAAAGCATTTGTCTCTAGACAGCATTTTGAGACACTTATTCATGCTTT